TAATAATAATAAAATGCAAAAAAGCGTTTTGGATGCATATTTGTTTGCGGTACTTGGATGCACATCAGGCATATCGAAGCCTACATAAAACTCAACTTTTAGTATTTGTAGGGAGCTGTTAACAAAACACATGTACCAGCGTCGATGCTGTTAGGTTGATAATAGTCCTTAAATCAAAAAGTGGTTGGTCACCGCTTGACTACCTAATTTGACTTTGTTTTGGAAAAATGCTCAGAGTTTCAGACCAAGAAATGTGATACTTAAGCGAGAAGTGAAAAGAAGAGGATATTAAGTTTACTACATCAGAATATCTTTTATTATAGTTGTGCAGTAGTATTTGAAGGGATTTTTTCTCCCTCATGTTCGGCAGTTTGGAATATTCTTTTCTGTAGAAGTGTGGAATATGAAGATAATTGATTAAAGATAAAAGAAACCACAATTAAATCTACCAAAATGGAAATTATAATACATGTTCCAAAATGAATACCCTATTGAGCCTCTCATAGCACTAATCAACATTCTTTGGAGCATAATTATGCAGGAAGCAGTTAATTATCACTTGAATAAAACTCTGGTCTGCATAAGCATAATTTGTAGAATGATCAAAGAGGGAGCTAAGCATGACATACCAGATGTTTTTAATGCTAGAATGAACTTCTCTGCAACTTCTTCCAATGAAACCCTCCCTATCGACTTGAATATACTTGAAACATAGTCCAGTGATGATAATTTTGTTATGTCCACAACTTCAAGCAATTGTAAAAGCTCCTCCCTATCGGTTTCGCACAATGCTAACAAATAATTTTCTGCCCAAAAGAAAAAAAAAAGTTTAAATCAATGACATGGTGAAGAGCATACATAGCTAACAACATGAGCTTGAAGATACTAGTGGAAGGCCATATTTTGTAACTAAATAAATAGTCAAACATTTGAAAAATAGGGTTATGCTAACTCAAGGAGCAGAAAATTTTACTTCTCCACACCTTTTGCATAATAATATCTAAACAAGTCATCCTGCAGCGAAAGAATACATTGTTTGTTTGATATGAAATAAATCTACAGCTTTGATGTGTTCATATCAAGATCAAGTTGGATTAGAAAGGGAAATCAAGACAAAAGTTATATTGTTAACTGTTTCAAAACGTCATAATTATTTCACGAACAGGTAAATAACTAGTTGTTCATATAGTTAACAACAATAATATCAATAGATCATATATAAAAACTAGGATTCAGCGTTTATAAGAAACTAAAAAGAACAAAAATGAGAGGCTGAAATCATTGAAATACCATTCCATTCATATTCAGAATCATAGTTAACAGTTCAGTAAAAAGTTTTCTGAGCAGCAAAAACATTGTACGGTAAAAGGCAGAGTACTTTTAACTAACTCAGAAAATATGCTTGAAAATTGATACATTTGTTTCGTCAGATTACTTGAAGTGATATGATTTGTAGAAAGCCATGGAACATATGATTTTCAAAGTATAATGTTTAGGAAATAGTAAAATAAATGAATTTGTCCAATTGTCCTCCACCAAACCATATTGAAAACTCCAACAAAGCATAGAATCAAGAATTTTTTTTAAATTCATTGCTGAAACTCATCCACACCATACATGGATGCGAGGCGTGTATAATACACAAACGGAACATCTAAGTGTTAACCATATTATACCAGAGGAAATCATATACATCAGAGATACTTATTATTACTTTGTGAGAAAATTACTAGATCTCATATGCCACATAGATCATTTATGTTTTAAGGTTCATTTATCAGTTTCTGACAAGTCACAACACTAAGAAAAATATTAAGACATATAAGAATGTCAGCAGTAAAAGCATTCATATTCCCCAATCGATACCTGCAAGGTGGAACCCGTCGGCATCAAATACAATAGAGCTGCACAGCTCCTGAACCTTATCTGTATTGTCAACTTTTATCCAAAACAGCATTTCATAGTAACCCAATCTTGGAAGCACGGCAGAATTCCCCTCTTTAATGACTTCGCTGAAGAAATAAAATTCATCTTCAAATTTCATATCAATTAAGTACAAGAGCAATGGGCCGAAAACTTCATCTTCTATTTGAAAACCCTGCTCTTTCATTTCTTCAAAGAGTCGATAAGCCCTATGAATGTGATTTATAGATTCGTCTTCATCCTGACTTTCCCGGGCCTTCTCGACACAAAGTTCTATCAGTGCCTTGAATTCTTTCTGCCCGGTTTCTCGTTTTAATCTACCAAAAACAGCAAGAGTTGTATTGGTACCCAATCTGTCACCACACATACTTACAAGCCTCTGAAAACGATCACCCTGCGTATTCTTGAAAACCCACTTTTCTTTCCTTTCACGTGATATTGTCTTGTGACGATGTGCTAGGAAAGTGTTTGACGAACTTGAGAACCATTGTTTGTCTATATCTTCTTCCTGGGATTTTTTAACCTCGGGAACATCAGTAGCAGGTAATTTGCATGAATCCACTGCTGCCTCATTACTAGTACTACCAGGAGTACCAGTACCTGAAATATGACAATAGAAAGTGGGCACCTTATAGTGGTACAAAAATATAAAATAAATGCATACAAATAAGAAATGATAACCATAAACAAAAATTAGACAACCTATGCCCAAACACAAGTTCAAAAGCAGCAACCGCAATTTTAACTTTACTGCAGAAGCCTAGGCTAACACTATATACTCCGTATGTGATTATGGTGTTGTACTCTTTCTACTAAGTAAGTTGATATCGTTAAACAAACACACTAAACTTAGCCTATCTAGGCAACAAGTAGGTAGGAGGCACTGCCATTCTTTTATGTGGCATTTCTTCAAACACATTGTGGTTGTGAATATTGTGTCGAATAATATACTATCATTTCAAAGTATATAGTTAAATTTCATTCTCCCTACACACTGTAGTAATAAATTAGTTAAATCAAACACCATACAAATGAACAAACACATAGCATGTGAAGGGTATGCATGGCTGTTACAAACTGAAATACTACAACCCTCATTGGTGTATTGAAACAATGTTTAGACAAAGTTTAGTAATGTAGGTAAACACAATAGAAAAGCAGAATTAGTGAATTACCTCCAAATATATTAAGTATTGCACCAAAAAGACCTTTCTCCTTTTTCTCTTCTACAAAACAAAACAAATTTACAAACAAATAAAGGGAATTTCAAAAATTGCTAAGAAAAAGAATTGAAGTAATAAATTACATTAAGAAGAAGATTACTTTTTTTTTGTTTCTGGAAATCTAACAAAGAAGAACTTAATGATACTGAGTCAGTTGAAGAAGTTGTACGAAATGCTATCTTAGATTTCTTAGAAGGTTTTGAAGTAGTGGAATTGGTTTGTTCTAGGGTTTTAGAGTTGTTCTTTGAAACTGAGTAAATCAACGAGCTCAATTGCTTCCCTTTAGATCCACGCATTTGGGATATATTTTTTTAAAATGTTGGTTGGAAATGTTTTGGTTCCCGCCGCTACATCAGCACTTAAATACTAAAAAGGTAGATGAGCAGCACTTGTTGTGTGTTTGGTTGGTTTCTATTTTGATTTTGTTTTTCCGATTTTCTGTTGAGGCGGGGTATGCACTTAAAATAGAAAAAACTCCCGGAACAGAAACATGCAAGTGAATGCGATCATTCAGGCCCAAGAAATTGCTAAAAAAATAAAAAACAAGAAGCTATTTATCCGCGTTCAAGTAAGAACTGACTTTGGGCCCTGGGTGAACATTTTTTATAAAGTCCATGTACGTGGTGGTTTGGCGGTTTGGCCCATAATTCCTAGACCAATTTTTTAATCTTTGGTTTTCATTACAAAGAAT